ATTCGAAGTGTCAGAAGCTGGTCACGTGCCAATAAGATACAAGTTGGTTATTCAACGCCAAGCTATGGATTCATAGGGTGACGTATCATATTTCATTTACAAACGTTGGATATTGGTAATCACTGTGGAAAGAAACACTTTCGTACCCCCAAATCAAATCAGCTGAATTATGCAGCTGTTACTACCTTTCACAAGACCCGATGATCTGTAAGTTATTTAAAAATCCCCAATTTGTAATTTGCTCGTTTGTGAATGTTTTATGTCCGGTAATAAATACGGTTCACAAATTTTCCAGTTTTTTATAGGCTTTTCTCGCGCAAACCACAGCCCAAAATAAATAGACTTCTACATGATCAGATACAAGCATTTAACACAGTTTTGACTCTCATATATTTGGAGTTGCATTGAGACGTTTCAATTCTGGAATGCCAAGTGTCTAGTCATTAGCTACAATGTGCATGCCTGTTTAAATTATTCTTGCCCACGTTGGACAAATTATCCACAATTCCCTTTAGATTTTACGTTTATGAACACAGAAACAGAATACATACAGCTTGTACTGCACCAAAAGGCGGGTGTTCCTAATACATAAGCCTCTCTACCATCCGTTTTTCTGCCTGGAACAGTGGTTCTGCTTTGACTAAGCACAGTACACCGGCCTCCGAGACCACGAAGTCGAGCTCTCAATATCCTGCTGATGTGGGTGGAAACTCTAATGCGTGGCACGCGGTCCTACGAAGTGTCTGACATTCCAGTTACGCCACATCTACTGAATTACAACAGACCTGAGTATCATAGGTCATGTACATCCACATGTGACAACACAAACATTCGGGTACAGGGTTTCAATTCCAAATTTACAGCCGCGTTTGGAATGAGCGTGCGTTTGCAGCATCCAAAATCACACGAAAAATTTGGGGACTCGAAAAACATGACTCACTATCGCTTAGTTACCAAATTAAGTGGACTCCAACAGTCATAGCTTTTTGACTCTGCAGCTGCTCATATAAATGCGGTGACCATAATAGCTTTCCACAATTCTTCTGCTATCCCGTGAAAGCCAACGCTCCATCAAGAGCTGTGGAATTAATTTGCATTAAGACTAACCAGAGGGCACACGGTAACAAGCGTTTCCGCAACCGCTATTTGGTGTGATATACTTGATCCAGTTACCATCAACACATACGAGCTAACCGCAGTTATTGTGGGAACGGGAATTTTTTCAAAATTTGTACACTTATACCAATAGATGTCAGTGTCAGTTAGCATCTTGCTAACAGAAGGATATAGAAGCACGTGTTTTAAGTCCTTCATCTTAATTCCGGTCACAAGCCAAGGGAAACTAAAATAGAGAACATACAGCGGGAGGAGAGTTTTCTTGGCTCAAAATATCCAGGTCCATGATGAAGGTCGCTCTGTCGAGCTCCATTTTGACTACAGACTCTTTAATTATAAAACTTTTAGCTACTCAGGCTAAACATTTATGTTGAAATCAATGGTTTCAACATTATCTTCGAATAAAGCTAACGAGACACTGTCAGATTTGGCCGGTTAAAAGATACTTATTGCCATCATTTGTGAATTAGGAAACATAAGAAAAACTTTAGAACTCCATAGATCTTGAGCATTTCACGCGGGTGTTAAATGCCTACAGTATTTTAGAAACTAGATATCATCTTTCTTAATCTTGTCATCTATGTTGTTAAATGAACCAGTCTAGGAAAGCAGCTCAGTTGTCTTCAGAGTATGACAGATTCATCGTATTTCCGGAACGAGTTGCCATGTTCATGCCAATAATAAACAAAAACACTGGTATAAATGTGCGCAAAATATGCCACAGTATGTCGGAAAAACTTCCTACCTCTAGATTATCGAAAATGATGATGCATCAGCATCTATGCATCACTTGGATACACCAGTTGAAATCAACTCAAGATAGTTACCAGCATTCTTTTTGGATTATTTATGTACAAAGGCGGTAAAGCCTGTGTTAAAATCAAGCGATTTTTTAAGATTTTAGCAGTTTTCTCTCAAGATGAGTGCTTCTTAATTCGTCTCATCCATACTTCTCTCAAACAATTGCCATGTTTGCCAATTCTTACCTCCACCAGTGGATTGCGTGACTACCCACTGTTTTTTATGCCTAATGTTTTATTGGTCCCATCTGCGGCGCACATAGTGTGCTCTTGCTCTTGTTCTTGTTTATTTTTTATTTTACGGTTTAATGTTGACTTGTTATTTATAACTATTTCGACTGCCCTTTCACTCAAGGCCTGTTGCACGGAGAGAGTCTATCCTGACCTTTCTCACAGAAATAACCTCGCTCCAAACATCTCCACTATAACAAACGAAGGCAATGTTCTTAGAATTTCCGCATTTTGTCAGTGTTTTACACAATGGTCATCAAAACAACCTTAAATTAACCTCCGAGTGTATTGTCAAATGTGCTGGCTACGGGTAAAAGTGCAATTTTCCTCTAAATCAAGTAAATTGCTCGAGCCACCGAAGCCTTCCAAATAACGTGCTACTTCCAGGAGTACTGAAGATTTGAATTTTAAGGTCACACAATCCAAGGGGTTCTACTTCTCGGTATGCTCAACTAATTTTCACGATGACTTTTGCTTTCAACCACCTTTTAGTAATCACTAGATAAACATCCTTGTAGTGACAAAAAACAAAATTGTGTCCTTTCTGTCAGAATGATACTGCGGCTATTGCAGTCAAGTCCTTAAAACTGCGCCTCTCATTGAAAGCCGACTTATATTCAAAACAACTTATTACAAGGACAAATTTTATATAAGGTGTGCCAGAAACCACAGTACGGATGAATAATTATGCCTCCTAATATTGTTTTACCCCAAACCTATTGGTAAATGATATCCCAGTCGTATGCAATAGATTAACTAAGCACTGAAGCAAAAAACAGACAGTCTAATTTGTTATGGCACTGCTAACCATATTCAACCATAGAAGTGTGGCAGAATGTTGCGACGGTTGGAATGAGCCATCTGGCCATGATCTAGTTACCTGTGGGCGCATTTAGAATAATTGCTTACAAAATACTGGGTAGTATTATATTACACCACGAATGAATCTTACAAAGTCCCGATTAAACTCGGATAATGGAGGTACCCAAACGTTCACCAAACGAACCCAAATTTCTGAGCAAGAATAGGACAGATAACTAATATTGACTGTTTCACGTTGTCTACGAAGGAGCTCAAAACGAAAGTCAATGTCTGACCGCAGGGTTGGACTTTGGTGCCCTGGTGTGAAAATTTATCGTAAGCGTGTAATGAAGTGTGCATTATGTGGATTCATTATAACCCTACAAGACAGCACAGACGAGATCATCAGGACAGTACACAACAACCAGTTGTGGTGAGTTTATGCAAGGTTAATCAGAATGGTCCTTAAGATGTGCAAAAATTGTGATGCTTAATTTGAACGCGAAGGACAGTCTGTCCACCTACCAGCTTGTTTGTCTACCAGCGCCCACGGAGAACTAGATTTTTTATTTTTTCGTTCTAAAATTTCACACGCACGTTTATTAAATGAATCCAGAACAGGCCACATATGCCCTAATACTCTTGAAAGCCAGTAAAGTATGTTCTACTTTTGGACAGCCAAGCTGATCATCTAAGGCTACATTTTCGTTTTCCATCGTCCGCCTAATAGGCAACATCAGACTAAAACTATTTAAGCAGATAAACAAATACCGTTTCAGTTGTCTTCAACAACCTGTGTTGAATATATTGAATGTGGCATCACAATTTTGTTGGAGGCCCCCGTTTTGCAAACCTTGTAAGCAGTCCAAAGATAGTTTTCATCATCGTTTATATGTAGACCCTATAAATGTTCAGAAGGAAGATTGAAAAAATAGGATGAGTAGAATAAGCTGAGAACTTTCTCAAAGAAAATCTAGCTAAATACCTGTCTTTTTAAAGACCTTACTCTCGTCATGCATTCTATATCCTAAAACCCGCGACTGCTAAATAGCGTTCAAAAATCCATCCCCGGTTTTGCTTCGATGACCGTGCAGTGTCCCATTCCATTGATTTTTAAAATTGTAATTGTAAACTTGTANCATTCCATTGATTTTTAAAATTGTAATTGCAAACCTGTAATAACAGAAGTAGCTAGACCTCAGTTTATATTTTAATATTCCACGTTCGCACCAAAACTGCGCGTAATAGCTGTTTTTGCTTGACAATCCAGGGCATAAAATTAAAGCCGGTGAACGAAAATCGGACGTCTAATAGGCTGTCACTGATTTTCTGATGTTCTACGGTGATCGCCTGAAGTCAAAGCCGTTCTGGACCTGAAATCCCTGTGGGTCTCTACGCGAGTTGTTGTAGCTTATAAAACAGCGCGCAAAATGTAATCGGAAGGAAGGGAACTGTAGCGAATTTACTCTTCCGCTAAAGATCAAAAGTTTGGTTCAACTAAATCCACTGCTCCAGTGGTTACTCAGTAATAGCATATTTGTGGCTCCATAATCCAAATGGAGGGCAAAAGTAGATGCTCTGTGTTTTGACAAGAATGTAAAACATTATGCAGTAAAATTACACGGCTTTTCGTTGATAAATATCCCTCATCATACTGGACTTAAAAGTTTGAAAAATAGTTTTTAAAGTTATCTTCTTCCAGACAGCCAAGACAATCAGCTGCACGACACCAAAAGCACTTAATGTTAAACTGTGGAGATGGTTGAAGAACTTCACCCATCGTTATAATTTGGTAAGAATCTAGACAAGACAAATGAGAAAGGAGTAAACATTAAGGTGAAATAAGGTATACTGCACTGTATTAACAACTAAACAGAGGCTCCAAATAATTAGCAAGTAAACTTGAGAGTTTTACATCAAGGATGTTGAGACGTCAGAATGCGATACGCACCAGACTTGTGCTGGAAGTGTGAGGTACTCGAAAGCAGGCAGGTGAGGAGGCACATTATACAGGAGAAGTTGAAAAAGACGGCTTTGTTCATCATAAACTACCAGTTCTCGGATTCACTTGTTGAGCAACGTACATGTATACCGATCCAGTAGAAGTCACGTAGCTTCCTTTCGTAGGGTGGTTAGAAATGTATGTTATATTCTCCATCCATGCATTCTGTGGAGCCGGTACTGACGAATCGCTTTCGTGATCCGTTTTTTTCGGACTTAATTTTGGACTGTAGTCACACTCCGTATCATCATTATAATATCCTATTGATATACGTTCGTCAATATCATCCGGAATCTTCGGTCGCAGCGGAGACATAACGTCATCCCAATCATATTCAATATCGCTGCTTATTATTCCTGGAAACTTAGTTGGAGTACGTATGCCACATTTCGGTGAATTCCACGTAGAATGCCTATTGAAACCGTTTTGCATTGGTGAATCTGTTGGAGTTGAGGAGATATTCCTTCGTTCCTCGAGACCCCTATCCGATTTGCCTTTAGAATTCCAGGACTTTGGCGACACAGAACTGGAGTCCGATTTTTGTAACTTATTGATCATGGAAGAATTTTCATGAAGAAACTGATCGAAATAATTCACACTTTTTGATACGGAATACGTTGGAGATGGCGCAATGTTGGAACTTTCTCCTACAGACGGTGAGTGTGTCTCTCCTAACAGAGAAGTGATTTCGTGGGCCTTCCGAACAGAGCTCAGTTCTATTCCGTACAAGTTAATATTTCTCGTAGATTCTTCCTGTACCACAAGCACCAACCTCGTCTCGTAATTCGGCGCCAGGAAGAAACCGATTATGTTTTTGTGAGGTATGCTTTGACGATGATAAATGTTGTCAATATAAAGTGGTGGGGAAAAGACGATATTATCATGGAGGCATATAAGCCTTAATGAGGCACTTGTCTTCCTATCGTTTGTGTGCATCAGAGATGCTGCACTAGATCGAATCGCGTATTCCTGATTGTTGCATACCCTGAATCCAGTAAGCTTTATCTTGTCTTCAAAATGAGCGACGTTGTTGATGATTCTCTTCGTTTCCCCAACCATATAATCACGTGTCTCCATTCGAGAAAGAGGACATTTACATGAAGCGGGGCTTATTACATTTGACCTTGAATCCTAGAAGTTACTCAAACACTTCTAGGTTCAGGGCGGAAAAGGCTTCAACATATAGTCGCCTCAACTGAAATTCCGATGCCAGTGACAGATAAAGAAGTGTCGCAGGGTAAATAATAGATAAAGTATGAGATGAGCTGTGCGCGTTTTTCGAGTCGAAGATGCCCTCTGTCAGAGTGCATTTTCTCTCTCAGATGAGTGGGAAAAGGTTTGGATGATTTGTCGTCAGTCCAGTGCTTAAATCAGGCGGAAGAAAAATGCAACTAATTTGCCAGTGCGAAAATCGCGGAAAAATCACTACTCTCGGCTTACAAGTTTATCTGGAAGTGAATTAATTTCAAACAACAGCCTGTACGATTCTTCCCTAAGTCGATCCTGAGTAGTCTCCATTACACTAGAGCTGTGGATGGTTCATGTATTTCGCGGATTCGTGGGCTGATACACAATATGGAGGCATTCGCTTAAGCTTCCTCAGCTGGATTAGTTCCTATCGTTAAGCGCCTTTCGTTCAACTGAAAGGCACTAGCGAAAACGCCGCAGTGTTGACCTTCAAATACATAATGCGTGCAGGAAGCCCGCTACAAGGCTCACAGCAAGAGACATATAAAAGTTCTCTGAACTAAAAACTTGATGCAGCAACTTTCCTAAACGAGGAAGACAGCCGCCCAATAAAAATTTGCACTCTGAGCTCGAAAATTCTCTAACTGCACCCTCCCTCTGAGCGTCAGATGCGTCAACATTAAAAAAACTTGCCAGCAACACCTTTTCATACGGGGCGCCGGTAATAGGTCTCCCCAGAGATGACGTTATTCCAAAAGGAAGAGATCAACCACGGTGAATCGCCCTCCATAATCAACGGAGTCATGGCAGCACACCATTTTGCGGCAGCTCGTTGGACACGTTCAATGAGGGTTACCTTCTTTTTGCGAGTAGATAAGGGGTAGTCTGCTGAAAACCCTATAGGGTACTCGAAAGTCGATGCAAGTGACACGGGAGAAGATGTGCCTGATCATTCATAGAACAACAAATGCCTTTCGAGCCGATTTTTTCCGGTGAAATGATAAGGAAAATTTGCAATAAGGCCGGAAACCCGAATATCTTCAGCTGTTGATTCTCGTAATGTCATCTGGTCCATCCCCACAAGACGCAACAACGACCTTAATGCAGGATCCTTTGAATGGCACAGAGACACACTTTTCACCACCCGGAGGTGGTGAAAAGTTGCCAGTCCACTGGAAACTGATTGGCAGCGTCGATTGGAAGACGCTGGATTTGGTAACCCGGCATTTCAAGTCTTCCTTGAAAGTGGTCGTGGACCTGACGGAACGTCTGAAAGGCAATAGACGTAGACCATAAACAATTTGTCCCACACTCGCAGCCCAGAGGAAATCCAATGGAGCTTAGCGCAGAAAATCGAGAGGTTAAGCCTACTTTCATTCGGAAAGTTTTATCTGATAAAAACATTTTATTCCAGCTTGTAAATTCTCTTCAACTCCATGAGTTTCGAGTCTGATGAGCAGTGAGACTTAGCGAATGCTATTAAAAGGTAGAAAAATATGGTGTCTGCTATGAGTTCTTCGTCCTTAGCCTGGATAAATCTGCCCCATCCTCTCATTTATACCAGGCCGTCCGTGGGAACGATTTGGGAAGATTCTGTGTATCACTGACAATGCAAAGTGGCTTGTTCTTTTGTGAAATAAGATGGCCCGCTTGAAAAGGCGTTTAATCATCGTGCACGGTATACTAGTGAGGACTACCTGCCGGTAGCTACCGGCCATTATTTGGTCTACATTTTCGTAGACTGACGTGAAATTTGCCACCCCCAAGGCAGAGGGAAGGCGGTCTTCATTGAGCAACNTAAACATTAGGGTGAAATAAGGTATACTGCACTGGATTAACAACTAAACAGAGGCTCCAATTAATTAGCAAGTAAGCTTGAGAGTTTTACATCAAGGATGTTGAGACGTCAGAATGCGATACGCACCAGACTTGTGCTGGAAGTGTGAGGTACTCGAAAGCAGGCAGGTGAGGAGGCACATTATACAGGAGAAGTTGAAAAAGACGGCTTTGTTCATCATAAACTACCAGTTCTCGGATTCACTTGTTGAGCAACGTACATGTATACCGATCCAGTAGAAGTCACGTAGCTTCCTTTCGTAGGGTGGTTAGAAATGTATGTTATATTCTCCATCCATGCATTCTGTGGAGCCGGTACTGACGAATCGCTTTCGTGATCCGTTTTTTTCGGACTTAATTTTGGACTGTAGTCACACTCCGTATCATCATTATAATATCCTATTGATATACGTTCGTCAATATCGTCCGGAATCTTCGGTCGCAGCGGAGACATAACGTCATCCCAATCATATTCAATATCGCTGCTTATTATTCCTGGAAACTTAGTTGGAGTACGTATGCCACATTTCGGTGAATTCCACGTAGAATGCCTATTGAAACCGTTTTGCATTGGTGAATCTGTTGGAGTTGAGGAGATATTCCTTCGTTCCTCGAGACCCCTATCCGATTTGCCTTTAGAATTCCAGGACTTTGGCGACACAGAACTGGAGTCCGATTTTTGTAACTTATTGATCATGGAAGAATTTTCATGAAGAAACTGATCGAAATAATTCACACTTTTTGATACGGAATACGTTGGAGATGGCGCAATGTTGGAACTTTCTCCTACAGACGGTGAGTGTGTCTCTCCTAACAGAGAAGTGATTTCGTGGGCCTTCCGAACAGAGCTCAGTTCTATTCCGTACAAGTTAATATTTCTCGTAGATTCTTCCTGTACCACAAGCACCAACCTCGTCTCGTAATTCGGCGCCAGGAAGAAACCGATTATGTTTTTGTGAGGTATGCTTTGACGATGATAAATGTTATCAATATAAAGTGGTGGGGAAAAGACGATATTATCATGGAGGCATATAAGCCTTAATGAGGCACTTGTCTTCCTATCGTTTGTGTGCATCAGAGATGCTGCACTGGATCGAATCGCGTATTCCTGATTGTTGCACACCCTGAATCCAGTAAGCTTTATCTTGTCTTCAAAATGAGCGACGTTGTTGATGATTCTCTTCGTTTCCCCAACCATATAATCACGTGTCTCCATTCGAGAAAGAGGACATTTACATGAAGCGGGGCTTATTACATTTGACCTTGAATCCTAGAAGTTACTCAAACACTTCTAGGTTCAGGGCGGAAAAGGCTTCAANAACAAAATGAAGGGTCTTGTCTTGTGTGAGAGTTAAAATAAGCCCTCTTTCTTGATGGCCTTTCGCTCTTACGTTCTGACAAGGTTGAATATGACGAGGTCTCTGGGTTTGAATGTAGGTCCGCTTAGTCTTCTCTGTAGTCTTGGAATACTACTACTGGGTCACTCAAGTTTCCCGTTTTTATCCTCCGTTTATTCGGCGATGTCTTATATACTTAAATGGCGCATTTTCGTTATTCCGGGCAACCTACAGCGTCGTGACATATTTTCATATGTGCCACCGACGGATTTTATGGATCTCAGCTCACCTTCTATGTCACCTGCAGTTATCTTTTTGAGAGACAGTTCTGACCTCGTTCACAGAAGACGCCAAATCCTTCTGCGCAGCTTTTGACCACTTTAGCCTCCGGAATTTTCTGAACAATGGTCCTGTACATCTACTCTAGCTAGGCTGGCTCCATTTTGAGTTTCTCAAAGAATTTCGCATTTCTGCGAGGTCTGCACGGAGGAAATTTCGATTCCATGTTTGGGGTTCCGAATTTCTTGTCCAGTATCAGATAAAATCAAAGGTTGTTACACCCTTTCTATTGTGTTTCAGTGGTCACACACGTTAAGCTGTTCCATACCAACCCGGACAAATTATTCTACACGCTTACTGGCAGCAACTCAGACGTCAACGCAGGTCACATGAATGAAACTTTATACAAAAGGACTGAGTACGATGACGTCAGAAAAATGATCTTGAACACGATCAAACGATAATGCCATACTAATCGGGCTTGTTCTGGTCGCTCACGGAGGAAGAGTTGGACCAGAATGGACATTTTCTGCGGAGTGTCTTGAGTACCGGTAAGGGCTGATGAGTATCAGGTCCAGGGACTGGATAAACGCGTATGAATAATAGCAATTCGGCGCAGCAGGCAGACCTTATTTAGAAGTCACAAAAGAAAGTTTCGGTCAAGATAACCGCCAAGAATAAATAGGTGGAGCAACGTTTGGCGTTTTTTGCCGAGAGATTCCCGAGATATTTCCGTCGCGTCTACACCAGGCTCTCCAAACTCGTAGTGTTCTAGAAAGGCAGACCTGGTGCTGGCACCGTTCCATGAAGCATTTACAGCCAAAGTGTGTGTAGTGCGCATATGATGAGCAACCTGTCCGATTTTGCTCCAGGTACGTGCTACTGAAGAGCAGATTGAGGTTTGGGAGCCATAAACCTACAATGGTCTGCAAAAAGGGTTGTGATATTGGTCACTCAATCCGGAACCGCATACGGCTGAAAACGACCATCCCGAATATCATATACTCACTTTTGTCGTCGCGGATTTGGCAAATTTTTCAGGGAACTCAAGGTGTCTGGGCACCAGTAATCTCCGAGTGGATACCACCCTGCGTCATGAAGACACCTGCACGCAGTTGCGTTAAGCACACTATGAAACGTAGAGAATATCAGGGATTGTTGATATTGGTGAAAGGAAAAAGCCAATTGCATAGTGTCAGGAAATTCAGCAAAAGTCCCCAAAAGCGTCAAACACAGAGCCGCTCACTCAAACTCGAGATATCAGGTTGGTGAGGAGGCTGATAATCAGTAATTAAGGATTGCAGTGACGCCATATTTTACGAACTCTGGATGAGGTGTTCTGCGGAATTCTGTCAAATGATCCAACGGCAGTCAGGATGTAGTCATTAATTGGCCGCAGTAATCCGAGCTACGTTCTTCATAAATCAAGGTAAATCAAGGTAAATCAAGGTTATATTGGTCTAAAAAGCATTTTACTTTACAATGACCAAAGGATGTTGGTGTGTGTGTATGTATACAGATAAACGGAATGATATAACATATATGTTCTATTGTTTGTAATCTGCATGTCAAATGTTGATGAGGGAAGTTGGGTGAGATCTTATGTATTCGTCAAGCGAATGTTTGAAAGTCTCGAGGTTACCACAATCCACAACAGATGTTGGTAGTTTNGGGGTGTTCTGCGGAATTCTGTCAAATGATCCAACAGCAGTCAAGATGTAGTCATTAATTGGCCGCAGTAATCCGAGCTACGTTCTTCATAAATAGGAAAGATGATAGCTCTTTTCAGGGATGTGCAAAGATGCTGGTCATTAACGATGAATTGGGGACGATTTGGTCCCGAGGACCGTGGTTGTGAATTTATTCTTCCAGGATCTTAGAGGGCACACTTTCTGAGCCGGAGAACACTTATGGATTGTACCCAATTAGGGGTGGCTATCCTTCTGGAAGTAACAAATTACTAGGTTATAATGGGGAAAATTTAGTGACATCAGGCATAAATTTAATTTTGCCGGCATGGTGTATTGAAATATTTGATCCATGACTCGCCTTTCCTATTCAGGATGTCAAACTAAGTCGGGTTGCCGTCGCGGCAACTAATGGGATCGGGCGGAACAAGTGTCCGAAAATGTTGCAGTCGTAGAGGATCACTGACCCCCCTTGAAGGTCAGTCCAATGTTTCGCAACAACCGGTACATCTCCCAGTGCCACGAGATTAACTTGATGAGAGTTTTAATATCCGATGATATTCCAGCACAATGGTGCGTGGACACTCGCCTCAGAATGTGATGTATTCCTAGATACTATCTAGTGTGGACTTTCTGAGCCGGAGAACACTTATGGATTGTACCCAATTAGGGGTGGCTATCCTTCTGGAAGTAACAAATTACTAGGTTATAATGGGGAAAATTTAGTGACATCAGGCATAAATTTAATTTTGCCGGCATGGTGTATTGAAATATTTAATCCATGACTCGCCTATCCTATTCAGGATGTCAAACTAAGTCGGGTTGCCGTCGCGGCAACTAATGGGATCGGGCGGAACAAGTGTCCGAAAATGTTGCAGTCGTAGAGGATCACTGACCCCCCTTGAAGGTCAGTCCAATGTTTCGCAACAACCGGTACATCTCCCAGTGCCACGAGATTAACTTGATGAGAGTTTTAATATCCGATGATATTCCAGCACAATGTTGCGTGGACACTCGTCTCAGAATGTGATGTAGTCCTAGATACTATCTAGTGTGGAGACTAATTGGTGCAGACGTGGTCCAGAAGGTATGGTTGTTGCTTGCTGCGGAAACAAGTTGCTTCGGCAGTGTGTTTATGCTATTCTTTAAGATTAGATCTTTGTAGAGGGAAAACGGCAAAACCTAAGTGATTAGATGTCAAACCCTTCCAGCATGTGGATATTGCCTTCAACGATGGGAAGGCGAATTGAGTGGCCGACAGTTAGTGGAAGACGATTTCTGCAATAATGTCCGCGTTAACATAAATTAGACCAGAATGCGTCAACAACTGCGAGCTTTAGAGAGTAATAAGTGTCACCTTTATGTATGAGGAGTGCTGAGTAATTTTGCATTCGCCCTCACTGTACTTTTAGCAGGAGCGGTGGTAAGTGTAGGCTGAGTTCGCACTTTCTTTATTGGCATATCTAGAGCAAAGTGAGATGCAGCAGATCATTCCAGTGAAGAGACAGCAGTAGTCTTAAATATTGAACCCCGAAAGAATATTACGCACACCGGTGCCGTTTGCGATGACGAGCTTTGGCGAACCTGAATGGCTGGGAGAAAACCGGTCGTAGATAGACTGATGTATGATGTTCGTAGAAAAATAATAGACAGCATTTAATACTTAGTAAGGGATGACAGTAGTGAATGAACCCTGTGGAGAATGCTGAATGGCAAAGGCAGAACCGGGAAATGGGTGTGTACATAGTCTAGAAAAGGGAACTGAAATACAATCAATCTTGGTTGCTCGGTCGAGAATTATACGAATAACCAACAAGCGGACTTCTGCGTGATTATTTGCGTTAACAATTTTTCACATTTGGTTTCGTCCATCCTGGACTGGAAAGTTAAATCCTGATTGCTTTGTCGGTGAGATCCGTGTGCACTGGGCACTGCTAGTTTCCGTTGTTGCGGAGTTGAGTCGGTTATTTGTGAAGCAGCTGATAGCTTAAAGTAGATGGTCCTCCGTAATAAAATCGACCGAAGACCAAAACCAGTGAGACTGAAGGCTACGGGCGTTTCGCGAGAAATTTTTGTCTGGCGTGTAGTTGGATGACTCGGAGAATCTTAAAAGGATGCAACCACGTATGGAAAAGGGCTGCTGTGGCTCTGTGAACCTGACAAAACTGCATCATTGGAAGGCGCGGTCTTAGATTTCGGATGGCAGGAACTCCTAAGATACATGAAAATTTTTAACCAAATTTCATAACACGCCAAGCTTAGCTGACGCCCTTTATCTCCGCAGCTTACTTGGTGATGATCAAAGATGGTTAGGGTTGCCTTTCCTCCAGAATTATATTTGCTGTTTGCTCCCGTGTGGAGAAGTGTAGATGCAAGTCGTCAAAAGAAATTTATTTTTTCTATTTTAGCTCATGTACACAAATCCAGTTGTCCCATGTGATAAGATTTTTTGACCTGGCCGCTGCGCAACCACACGAGGACAGTTTCTTCGGTAAAAAATGGTGTAATGTGCCTTTCTTCCCAAATTAATCCAAGAGCTGTAATTATTATTCACGTACCTTTGATCTTCGCCGTACAACTGATGACGGTAGCTCAAACGTCCACAAAGGAAAAGCCGGTAGAGGATTCTTTTTGCTCCGACAGCCGTGTCAATTGACCTTGACTCTTTTCGCGAAATATTCCAATCAGCCTCCACATTGTGTATCATTATTATGCTCTGCTGCGAGTCTTTTTGGTGCTGTACAGGAGATTTATCGGCACTATCAGGATGTTTTTGAAAAAACAGAGTAGTAAACGCGGTGTTCCAGGGAATGAGCTCAGTTCTGAAATTTACCAGATGCCCCTCCGGACTTAATTGGTTAAGTCCTTTGTTGAAACCATTTGGACCGCCGAAAGAATTTCTCTGTAATTAA